CACATGACATGTGTGACGTGTAATGATCCCCTTTTATTCCAGAAGTTTGGTGCTTAAGGGGTTGAAGGGTATTTTAACATACAATCAGCATTTCTGACCCCTACTGGTCAACAGCAAAACTGTCTTCACATGTCATATACAATTTACCAGCCAATATAAATTACACATAAGATTGTTTTAAACATAACTATAGACCATAAATTAAACTCCAGCACGGGCTCAACTTCAGGTTTAATTCACAATAATTTACATTTCACATCAAGACCAACAGTGGTTCTATCAACACTGCCACCTACAGGTCTGTCAAGTACATTGACAATTTTCATGGGGTTTTACAAACACCAAAACACTGACACCTATAGGTCAACAGACAAACAACATTTCACATACCAATCAGTATCCAACTACACTGCCACCTATAGGGCACTCGGCAGATCTCCAGTGCACTTGCATTTTGCAACACCATGTTCACTGACCCCTACCATTCAATAAGACATACAACAATTCACATAGCAAGCACTATGTCAACATCTGGTATAAATACATATATTATTACACAGTAGCAGACGCATCTGTATATATGTAACTGGTAATATAGTTCACATACATTTTTCACAGCACGCTGCTCCCGCAACAGACTTCCCCTAGCAAGGGGACATACAACATACAAGGTGGGGACAGACCACATTTTCACTTGTACATACGGCACTTAATGGGTTAAGATTGATACATATTTAACCAGTATGGCTACGATGTTTAATATTTACACATCACGTCACTTTACTTTTCACATATACTGTACGTATTAAGATAAGCTTGGTCTATGCCATATTTCCTTATGCCATACGGTTTTATCCATTCAGGTTACAGTTACTACTAAAAAACCTATACGGATTGTCAGGTTCAATACCATACTACCAGGTACATACACCTGCTCACGTAGTTATCCATCTCTTACCTTCCCTGGAATAGTAATGGTGTACTGGCAATTAGGGTTCTAGGGCCCAATAGGTATTACCCCCTTTTTTCTCTGCATTATGCTTCGGTTAGTGGTCCCGCGAGGCCAACACCCCGCCTCACACTCGGAGGCATACACCCCTCGGGCCACTCGTGAGCTAGCCGCCTCGCATTGTATCATAGAGAGGACCTCACCTGTCACTCCCCTTCCTATTTTCTGGTTACTGTCACCGAGAGGCCAACATCCTGCCACAACGTTCGGTGGCCACACAAAATCCCCTCGCGCCAAGCATAGATAGAGCCTCTCAAGCCACTTGGCAACTAGCAGGGCCTCACCAGTCACCAAAAAACCAAGCCTAATCGTTTCGCCTTACGGCTTAGCTAGCAAGCCAGTACAAGAACCCTGGGTACAAATAATAATTGCAATCTTTATTGTTATTTAAGTATTTCTCAAAAAGATGGTGAAGAATCACCTCTTCCTAGCACCCCGCTAGAATTGATACACCTTCAAGCAGAGGAGATGTTGCTAGTCCAGCAGCAATCAGATCCTGGACGATCCCACACATTACCACCGACCTAAGGAGGTGACAAATCCCCTACCCTGCTACAGCAAGGAAAGCAGTTATTCAAACTCCTCCATACATCAACGGACAACACGGAGGCAGGGGAAGGCCCAGCTACATCAACTCAGGTGACACCCAGGCTATGCTAGCTTCACTCATAAACTCATGAGCCAAAAAATTTATGACAGACTGGCAATCTCGAGTTGGTCACCACAGCCCTCACAAGGCTGGGCCTCACGCTACTGTACAACAAGCACCAACCGAAACTCGGTTACCTGGTACAATCAATTCTTATGACACACAAGATGTTAAACCTGCACGTATGATCCCAGCACATTGGGGAAGCAAGGCATATATATATATGATGATGTATCTGTGATGGTCAGATCCAGGGATTCCAGGTAAATCGGGAACTGACCATCCCTTGGTTGGGTTGGCATTTGGAATATGTGGAGATGTTTATTTGTGCAGGTACCCATACAGAAGGGATTTTGTCCCAAACAAATGGACGAGCACTCTCAGGCTCCAGGTACCAGCACCTCTGAACTACCAGAGACCACTGATATGAGTAGTTGCATTGCATACAGACTGTTGCATATATGTTCAAATAGTTCAGGGCACATGACAAACCATGTGTCCCAATACAACTTACAAATAACGTATTCACCATCTGTACACACCAATGCATTTTCAACACTCCTGACTCATCACCCTTCCAGACTTGTAGTAGATTTACTAAAGCTCTGGAGCTTCAAAGGGCTCCCATACAGGTATCATAAACACACCTTCAAGGAATATAGCATGCCCTCACTTACAGTCAGCACCACAACAACCATTGGCTGTAAACACACTCATAGCCAAGATTTGCAGAGGGGTCTTCCAAACTCCACCATTTACAGCATGGCACTAAACACACACATTGGTATTGTCACAAGGAATCTTCCCTTAAACAAAGACGAACCATGGACTTATTGGTAACACACACCTCCGCTACCCCAAGTCTCAACTCCCTCATACCCTCCGAGGATTTTTCTTACTATACACACCATTGATCTACCTTTACAGCTATCACTCAAGCATGGGTTGAAGCTTGATTAAGTAAGACCAATATCATCAACGCAGTAAATGGCTACCATCTACCCTACACACTGGCACTTACATGGCATAAATTGGGCAATCCTTTCCCCGCTCAACTTTCGAGCTACAGATTAGCCTACTATCGATATTCGCAGATACTCTGTGCTGGTTATGATAACATATCCAGAGGCCTTACAGTCATACACTATCTAGAAGACTTCTTGTTAATCAAAGAAAGCATATTTTTCACTAGAAGCCTCACGGCAGCTTAGTCTGGTTGACCACTTGGGCGTCCCAGTACCCCATAAGAAACAGAAGGCCCAGACACTATCTTCACATTACTGGGCATATGACTTGAGTCGGCATCCATACACGCAAGTTACCACAAGACAAATAGGGAACATTCTCAACTACATCAATCACTACCTCCTGCTTAGTACTTACAACTGCAAGGAACTACGATCCCTACCAGGTTCCTTAATTTTGCCATGCTTTCACATCCAGAGTACTTTCCCCTTTTTTCCACACTTCCAACATGACGATCAGAGGAGGTGCCTAGACACCTCAGCAACAGCAGACCTGCACATGGGGGGGGGGATTTCTTAACCACTTGGCATGGTAAAAGCATGTTCCTTCCAGGATTGTCTGACACTTCTCCAACCAGATGGTCAGACGCAGCGTATACCACGGGTTTGGCAGCGATCTACCGGGAACAATTGCTTTGGGGCTGTTGGCCATGGCATCCAGGTTTGGAAATTTTTCCACCACTTCAGCCCCTTTGGGAGATCTACCCCATTGTAGCAGCTGCTGTGGCATGGGGTAAATCATGGTCAGGGTCATCAATCCGTTGTTACTCAGACAACTAAGCACATACCATATCATCAACAAACGCCACTACTCATCCATAAGTTCATGATGTTTCTGGGGAACTCACTTGGTTGGCCACTTATCACATTTCACTTTCATGTACCAGACGGGGTATACATCCCTGCCGACAACTGTCTCATTTATATTCCAGGCATGTTCATCATACGCTTCCTACAGCCGCCATACAGTCACGTCCACTCTTTCGTTCCAGAGACAAAATCATGGATTAGACATACTCATGCAGCATAGCATGCACTATCCCACCTAGCACTTTCGTCCCATACTTGTAGAATGCATAACACAGCTTTTCACCTGGCTTAAAGAATCTCATTGGAACACGACATAGCTCAACCTGTGTCACAAAATTTCTCCTAAGTTTTGCTTATTTTTGCCACCTTAAACTTAAACTATCTCATACACCATTAATTATATATTTTACAGGCATTCAACAACACATGATAACCTATGGCCAAAACTACCATAAACTTCATGCTATCATACCAGAAAAGAATATACTCAGAGGTTTTCAGGAATCCATTCCCCCACGTTCCTCTCAGAGATTACCAATAGCCATCCAACTGTTCATCCTTATCGGACCTATTAGATCTACAACCATTCAATTATACTACCAAGTCGGCCATTACCAGCCATGCACATTGCCTTTTATGCCTTTCTCAGGCCAGAGAATCCACTACCATCACCACCACTCAGACAGATCATTGTCTTCAACGATCCCACGTACGTAAACACATATATCATTACCTATTGGCTCTACCACATTCCGAAATGAGTCAACATGCACCAACAGTAGAGATAACATACTATCCTACCCACAACAAATGGTGCCCACTTTCGGTCCTAGATTCCTACCTTCAAAATCCTTTCAGGAATTAAATACTGTAATGCATTTAAGGAAATGTCTGGTTAATTTGTATATATTTGTTGACTGTATTAAATCTTTGATTATTCATTTTTGCCCTCTTTATTTACAGGCCTACCGTATCGTCGGTATCGGCACACCACAACCGACTTGCTCCCTTTACACTATCCTAAGCTTATGCTGGATCCTTACTCCATATACGGCTATTTTGCCCCTTACACAAGTATTAAGGCAGTTTTGCCTGTATTTGTGGGAGGGGCTTAAATTAATTCACTCCCCTATATAAGGGACACCCCTTACCTGACTCATATCGCTTGAGGTCAGCATCAGAATGACCCTCCCACCCACTCCTCATTTCAACACTTTCTCTTTTCTTTCCATTTACTTTACTTTCTTACTCCTTGGTGGGCCCTCTTTATTTACAGGCCTACCGTATCGTCGGTATCGGCACACCACAACCGACTTGCTCCCTTTACACTATCCTAAGCTTATGCTGGATCCTTACTCCATATACAGCTATTTTGCCCCTTACACAAATGTACGTATATGAAAAGCAGTACATCTTGGCTCCATATGGCCATCTAATACAAGGGTACTACCGTTATATAGATGACCTTCTAATCATATGGAAGGGCACAGATTTGGAAGCATATGATATGGTGGAGGAACTTAACAAGTTACCAACACCAATCAGATTTACAGCTCAAATCAGTTCCAAGAAAGTCCAGTACCTGGACGTGGAACTATCTGTCGGGGTTAATAGGCTTGAATATAGCCTCTACACCAAAACGACGGACCGGAATACATTGCTGCACGCACTAAGTGCCCATCCACAAACACTCATTAAGTCTCTTCCAAAAGCTCAATACCTGAGGGTGATGCGAAATAACTCTAATGATCTCATTAAAGAAAGACAACTGTCAGAAATGACGGAGAAGTTGCTGCAACGTGGTTACAAGCGCTCTATCCTTGATGAAGCCCTAAATGAAGCGAGAGAACCACGAGTATCCAAAGAAGAAATGCTTAAACATGAAGTAACCCAAAAATTGGTTTTCCCTACCACGTACCATCAGTCCACCAAAACTATCTCCTCAACTATTAGGAAGAATTGGAGAATCTTGGCTGCGGACGATACGCTCCACAAGGTCTTTCTTGAAAAACCTCTTATTTGCTTCAAACGGAAAAGATGTTCTAGTCCACACAGACCCTGTTTCAAGTTACACAGAAAATATTACTGCCCAAAACCGGGGTTGTGTTCGCTGCCTAGGGTGCGTCACTTGTGGCCACATGACGCCATCAAAAACTTTTTCCCACCCTCCTACAAATAAGCAGTATTCCATCAGGAGGACCATTACATGCAAAACAACGCATGTTATATACAAGTTGACATATCCGTGTGGCCTAGCATACATTGGTAAAACTGAGACCGCATTATGCGAGAGAATTCGGGGACACCGGTCCAGCATTAGGTTGGCGTATAGAGATGGGTCTTCGGACAAGCCGGTAGCCAAACATTTTTTGGAACTTAAACATCTGCTATCTTCTTTGAAGTTCGTGGCTATCGATCATATTCCACTGTCCTATAGGGCTGGGGATCGAGGAAAAGCGCTATTGAATAGAGAAACTTACTGGATCTACCATTTGGACACAGTATCTCCAAAAGGTTTAAATGAACACATCTCTTTTCATTCCTTTCTGTAATGTATCAATAGTCTTTTGATGAGACCCATGTTTAATATTTGGTCTTTATGACTTAGCTCCCAATATAGAGGTCTGCTTCTAATATATGGTCTATTTCTGTTGAAACTATTATGCCGCTATGGTATATTAAGCATACCATGTATTGGTATTCAATATACTGCTATTTTCAATTCCAGGTACCCATAAGCAACAGGGGTATTGTGCTCCAGGTGGCATTATTATTTTAATTTATGTGTTTTGTCTTTTAGGTTCAATCAATATATTTTGTGACACTGACCATAATTACGGCAGTCAAGATAGCAATCAAAGTTTAAATAAGGCCTTTAAGTTATAAATATGGCCAATACTTGAATTCTTGCTACATCACTATTTTATACTTGAGCAACATTAATAAAATGGGTCTCATCATTATTATTGAACTTAATTGCATATGTCTGATGTGTTAGAATTTTCACCTGGGGTAAGCTAATTTACTTATTTTCACTAATTTGTTCAATCTGCTTGATTGGAATAATTGTATAGGGTATATATAATGTGGATGTATGTCTTATTAATCTTATGATCCTGATGAAAGTCTGCATGGACTGAAACGTTGATCTTGGATGTTTTAATCATTTGTCATAAAACTTTGGACTTTTACTTCGTGAGTGCAGCCATTTACTTGAATTCCTTGGATATTGAAGCTACTTTTTGGTTGGCACCCGGCTACTAAGGGACATTGGAGCGTGAGTGCAGGAGCATTTTCGTTTTTATACATATATATATATATATATCTTTCTGTCCTTTCGATTTCCTACCTCTCAACAGATTCTAAAATATCCATATATAACTGTCCTATCTAGATAATGCTTTGACTTGTATGGTGGATTTCTTATTTGTCTTTGCTCTCTCCCCCCTCCCATCCTTGTACGAGGTGATTTCTTCCTACTATTCTTTAATTTATACTATATGTAGGGTTATGCCCTTTTTGCTACCCCTATAACCCATCTTGTACTCCTTGTTAGAGTATGTTCTCTGCTCGGTATTCTTTATAATTCTTTTATAGGTATTTCTTAGACTAATTAATTCCCTGTATATTTAGATCACTATCTTTCATTCCTAGAACTACAATAATAGGATATCCTATTCTTACAAGAATGTCTAAGATTGCAAATAAAGACCCTGAAATTAACCCCAGTTTCAGTCTCATCCCTGACCTGCACAAGATCACAACAGTGATGCCGGACTTGGAGTGACGTCATATTCTGGCTCCAGCATCACTGCTATGATACACACACTGACACATGCAGAACACACTGACCGCATACAGATACACACATACATACAATGAGAACATACAATGCATACAGATAAACACATGCAGATACAAAGATACATACACGGACTACATATAGATACACACAAACGGACACACAAATACACAACCTGACACACATGCAGATACACACTGACCACATATAGATACACACATGAGAACATACAGATACACACAGACTACATATAGATATACACACGCTGACACACAGGCACACACGTTGACACACAACCTGACACACATGCAGATACAAAGATACACACACTGACAACATATATATATATATATATATATATATTTATATATATATATACACACATACACATACTGACACAGAGACACACACAGACAGCCATACTGAAACACACATACATACATACATACTGACATACTGAACCACACAGACACTAACAGACATACTGGCACACATACACACAGAAATACTGAAACACACACACAGACACTGACAGACACACAGCCATACTGAAACACACAGCCATACTGACAGACATACTGGCACACATACACACAGACATACTGACATACACAGACATACTGGCACACATACACACACACAGATAGACATATTGGCACACACAGACAGCCATACTGAGCCACACAGACAAACATACTGACACATACACACATTCAGGCAACATTTGATAACCACCCTCCAATTTGTTACCTTTTCCTGGAGGGTGGCTTCCCTGGGGTCCAGTGGGCTGGCTGGGAGTTAAGCTCTCGCTCTCTCCCGGCCTGGCCCCCTCCGGAACAGCTGGCCCTCTTTCCTCCCGCGCGGCTCCGGTTTCTGTGGGAGGAAGTGATGCGCAGCTGTCACTTCCTCCCAACCGGCTGCCGAAAAGCAAGGGACCTGGTCGCGCTGTTAAAGCTCCACAGCGCCCGACCGGGCCCCTGCTGACACAAGCCCACCAGGTGGACAACCGTAGGGGCCCCCATAGTGTGCAGGCCCGCTGCCCACAACAATTTATTTTGGGATTGGCGACCCCAAAAGACATTGTTGCGGGCAGAGGGCAAACGGGGCAGCTGCCTTGGGACCCGCAGCAGTGACAGGACCTGGGGCAGCTGTCCCCGTTTTCCCTGTGTTAAAGATGGCCTTGATCATGGTACTGCATTTGCCTGAGGTATTTCTAACGCAGTGGCCCATATACGAATACTTACTGATCCATGCACTCACTCATACACTGACACAAACACTGACCCATGCAGACACACTATGGTACTACAACACCCAGGATGTCTAACAGTTTGGGACCGGGCTGTTTTTACAATTCTGTGGTGTTTGTGTTTAGATGTAATTTTCCTCTTACTCATTTACTGCACCCACATATATTATATACCGTTTTTCTCATCATTATTTTCATCATATAATTTACTATACAACATTTTTTTATAAAATATGATAATTTTTGAAAACACACTTTTTTTTTTAACTTTGACCCCCAAAATCTGTTACGCATCTACAAACGCCAAAAAACACCCAAAGAGTTTCTAAATTTTGTCCTGAGTTTAGAAATACCCAATGTATAGCTTTTGGAAGGTTATAGGGCAATAAGTACAAGTAACACTTTGCTATTTCCAAACCATTTTTAAAAAAAAATTAACGCAAGTTACCTAGTAACACTGATATCTGTCAGGAATCCCTGAATAACCCTTCACATGTATATATTTTTTAAAATAAGACAACCTAAGGAATTAAACTTTTTTTTTTTAATTAAAAAAAATAAAAATTGGTGATTTTTTTTTGACACACAAGCAATTTAAGAATACATGTACTGAGAACTTTAAGGGTTACTGTCAAAGAACACCCCAATATGTATTCAGCAACATCTCCTGAGTACAGTGATAACACCCATGTATAGGTGTGTCAGGTTCTCTGGGGGCTAAAAGACCTTATCTGGGGGGTACGCTTCCAGTTTTCACAGCTAGTCATCATGCACCCAGGTCCTATTTAGGACATTTTTGAAGCCAGCCAATGTAATTCACCCCCAGCAAACCATATATTTTAAAAAAATAGACAACCCAGGGTATTCAATATGGGGTATGTCCAGTCTTTTTTAGTAGCCACTTAGTCACAAACACTGGCCAAAGTTAGCATTTATATTTAGCAGTAGAAAGAGGGAAGTGCTCATGCCATTATACAGAACACTGGTGAGACCTCACTTGGAGTATTGTACACAGTACTGGAGACCGTATCTTCAGAAGGATATTGATACCTTAGAGAGGGTTCAGAGAAGGGCTACTAAACTGGTTAATGGATTGCGGGATAAAACTTACCAGGAAAGGTTAAAGGATCTTAACATGTATAGTTTGGAGGAAAGACGAGACAGGGGGGATATGATAGAAACATTTAAATATATAAAGGGAATCAACACAGTAAAGGAGGAGACTATATTTAAAAGAAGAAAACTACCACAACAAGAGGACATAGTCTTAAATTAGAGGGACAAAGGTTTAAAAATAATATCAGAAGTATTACTTTACTGAGAGGGTAGTGGATGCATGGAATAGCCTTCCAGCTGAAGTGGTAGAGGTTAACACAGTAAAGGAGTTTAAGCATGCGTGGGATAGGCATAAGGCTATCCTAACTATAAAATAAGACTAGGGACTAATGAAAGTATTTAGAAAATTGGGCAGACTAGATGGGCCGAATGGTTCTTATCTGCCGTCACATTCTATGTTTCTATGTTTCTATGTTTCTATATTTGTGTGTTAAAAATGTAAAAAACAAACAATTATGAACACTAACTTTGGCCAGTGTTTGTGACTAAGTGGCTACTAAAAAAGACGGAACATGCCCCATTTGCAATACCTAGGGTTGTCTTCTTTTGCAAATGGTATGCCATCATGGAGATAATTCTCATTCCTGGGCTACCATACGCTCTCAAAGGCAATATAACCAATCTGACAAATTTCAAACTGAAACAGCCTTATATTTGACCCTGTAACTTTCAGACACACTATAAAACCTGTACATGGGGGGTACTGTTATACTCGGGAGACTTCACTGAACACAAATATTGTTTTTAAACTGTAAAACGTATTACAACAATATCTTCAGTAAAAGTGCTGTTTGTGTGTGAAAAATGCAAAAAAACTTCCCTTTCACTGACAATATCATCGCTGTGATATGTTTTACTGTTTTTAATCACTAATATTTGTGTTCAGCGAAGTCTACCGAGTAAACCATTACCCCCCATGTACAGGTTTTAGGGTGTCTTGGAAAGTTACAGGGTTAAATATAGTGCTAGAAAATAATATTCTCTTGACTTTCGGCCTGGGTTGTCAGTCAGG